TGCTGGCTCATGTGGTGGTTCTTTCTCCGGCGAAGTCAATGCGGTGACCAATAGTGATATGATGATATGCAAGCGGAGATGTTACTTCCAAAATCTTCAGAGCTTCTTTGCCCTTGACTCGTCACTTCCTCACTCGTTCTTGCTTTGAAACTCTAAATCATGAGAGTCGCAATATTTAGCCGAAATATCGAGAACTACAGTTTGGAACGTTGTTGGTGTATAACGTCAGCCGCTTCCTCCGGTGTAATATTGTTCTACTAGAAAATACTTTCGATAAAATAAATAATTATCGAAGTTTATCTCTCGACCTTAAAGAGACGCAAATGTTCGCAGAATTCAAAATGCTCCTGATGGATTCAAAGATATTTTTGACCTGGTATATGCATATGCATAGGGCCGGTTTCTCATCTAGGTTTTCTCGCGTTCTAAGTCTCGACTATGCCACCTTTTGAACAAAGTTTCTTAGATAATCATTGCATTCCAGTACCTCATGAAGGTGGTACGGAACACCATTTCTGCTTTATCCATAAGTATCATATCTCTCGGGCGTATTTTGTGGTGCGAACGGTTGGACTTGAAGTTCAGGTACTGATAACCGCTTATTGCTTTTCAATACATTGACTTTTCAAACGAACCATTAGCTACAAAGATTTACTTAGCAGTCAAGGAATGTGATATTATGCTGTTTCGCCCTTCTTCCATCTTGAACCTAGTTTCCGGGGATATGCTGTTCAGGTGGTTCAGAAGTGTATATCGACGCCATCCATCCGCCATATAACGAATGCATCGTCCACGTATCGCCGCCATACATGAGATTACGAAAACATGGTGAGCCCACCGCGACGCCGTCTGTATATTATTCCACTGAATAGAAGCCAGGTATGTATCCATCGGAATTCTACACGGTGTAGTTCCATGCCTTTATTCCGTGTTGGCCGTTGGTCTCGAGTCCAACGGGTCTGCATTCACCATTTCGACCCTTGATGGGGAAAAATAATGCTCTGTTCAAACTGAGCGTTCCCTCATCTTTTTCGATGTATTCATTGGTTTGAAGTGCGTGGAATTCTTGAGGGCTATCCTACTGCCCTGCCAGTGATTCTCACAACGAACAGATACGTGACAGCTGCGAAACAATCGACGACAACGTAATGAAACTATTGCTTGTTGGTTGAAATTTACAGAAAACCGGCTCAGTATCCCCAAGATAAATTTCATGAGTCAAATCATACTTTCTCGTGAGGTACAGTAGAAATATGGTTCGTTGTATGTCGCATTCTGTTGTTTCTAAAACAAATTTGATTTAATTGTCAATATCGATATTACCATAGCATAGGCGTTTCTGAACAGGCAACTTTCCTCGTCTCGAAATGATGGCAACATGAAACGAAATCAATCAATAACTGCAGTACTAAAAGAATTTATCTAATTTTTTGGCATATAAATATGCCTGACTGTAAACGGTTGTTCTAAAATCATTACTCCTGTGTTCATAACGTTTTCTACATGGAAATAATTTTAGTATTAACAATTGAAAATAACGATCGTTTGCAAGCATTCGTCGACCAGAAAAGGGTACCCAAGTTTAGTTTGGCGACAGTGCCTTTAGAAGGGTCATACGGTGTGTTTCGACATCAGTTTTTTGTTTTAAGCCTTTGCAGTTTAGAAGCACTTGTAAAAATGGTGTTGCCATGTGACTTCAATGAATACTCGACTAAGAAGTATCCAACTATTTTGAGGGTGTAAGTATGAACGTGCAGTAGGTCCTAGGAACTGTCTTCAATGCAAAATATTTAGCTATGCCGGACCCTCCACACAAGCGGTCACGGATGCATGGTACCTTTCCAACGATAAAGGTGTGTTCGATGCATACCTGGCTACCTCCCGAGGCTACGCGGTAGTTTATATTGACGGTCGTGGTTCGTCCGGTCGTGGCTCTAAATACCTGAAGCCTGTCTATCGAAACCTTGGTACCATTGAAATTTTCGATCAGATAAATGGATTTAGGTAAGTCATCTGAAATCGTTTAGAGCATTCTCTGATTGGTCATGCTTCGCGTTATATTCCATAAGTTTAGCTTTATAATTTCATGAATTCAACTTGCTTAATTTTCCATCCAATTCGTAACTTTGTGCCTCTGTCGCGATTTTCTCTCAATAGCCCTAAGTGTTTTAGGTCTCCTTGTTTCATGCCATGGAGTCTTTTAGGGAGGAATCATGCGAGATTTTGACACCGTACTCACAGACAACGAACTACAAGGAAATCTTTGCTACTCAGCCACAAGTCATCTCATCACTAGTGACGTGTCCTCCTGTTCTGGGAGCATGACTGCCTAAAGGAACGGATTCAGCCATACTTTATTCGAGCTAAAATTCGAGAGAAAGCTTTTGATTGCTAATGGAAAAATACGGTTTATGAATACACATCACACAAGGGTCAATCAGATGATTGAACAATGCCAGCGTTTCGGCGCCGAACCCACCAAGCACTACGAACGACAACCAACCAGTCTCTTTTACTTGTAGAAGACCCGCAAGACAAGGCCCAAATAGTATTTACTGCTCTATCATCCAACTGACCACATTTTCACATTGCGCATTAATGAACCGTATTCTGGGCTAATTTTCAATATATTCATGAACGGGCGAACAAAAATCTATATTTCTGATTGCCAATTAAGAGGTTATTAAAAAAAAAGTATTTTAAATCGAGGCAGTTTCTATTACTTAATGAATGAAGACTCCTTGTGACCAGCGCTTCATCAGTCGTGCAGCTTCATGAAATAGGCCAGTGAAGTAGAAGACTAGCCGACAGCTCAAACCTGTCCAAGAAATTGGATACGCATCTTAGAAAATCTTACGTGTGAAATATACATGAAAATAAATGGATCCTACGTTTCGTCCATTGTTTTTCACTGCACAGAAAATATTAAGCGCGGAGGGGGTGGGGGGGTTGCTGCAAATGCTGAAATGCAAACAATAGTCCTAACAAACGACGGTCGTTTAGCTGCATTCGAGCTCGAGTACTATTTTTTGATGTTCTCTACACGGTACCAAATTTTTCAGGAAACTTCTTGAAGAGTACTCGTTCCTTGATGCCAACAGAACAGCCGTCTGGGGATGGGTAAGTGCTCTTTTAATTGTTGGAAGCACGGTCAGACCTGCTTTCTTTCGACTATGGCGTTTGAATATTGATCGGCATACTTTGATTCTCAAATACCTTGAAGCAAGGACTGCAGTGAAAATGTTCATCCATATGATAGGTCTATCACATTCGTTTTTCATCGCTAGTGTTCTTATTGCCTCATATTCCAGAAGTACTGGTATTAATATAAAATCATAAACAAATTAACTTCATATGTCTAGCACCTTGCCGTAGCTGATTTAAAGCTGTTACATATTCTCTTATCACGGTTTCCAAAAAGTGATAAATACTAAAGAAAACTGCCTGTAGCAGTCATCTGGCGCCTCGGCCGAACTGACGTTGTACTTCATCAGGAAATAAACAAAAGTGTACAACTGCCTGAGGCACTGTTAGTGTTCGACCTTTTTAGCGGAGCGTTTTACTCAATATTTATGAAACAACTAATAAGGCCTAACGTCGATGAAATTCAAAATCATTCAATAGCGGATTTAATTAAGGCCAATAGGGTAAGATGAAAACGATCTATTAAATCCAAACATAATCCACAATAAGGCAACGATCTGATGGGAAAATGCTCCTGATATTTCAAAAATGTAAGTTTAAAACATACCGCTATACATTCTCAGTATTGATCCTTCATTGGCTAATTTGTAATAATTTGCAGTGGTTACGAATACAACGGTGGTACATTTATTGATTTTATCAACAATCTAGTGTCAACCACTGAAGGTGGTTTCTATTTTCAGGTCCATTTTTAAAATTTTCATTTTGTTCAACTAGCATAAGCAGAAACAGCACTCAATAGGTGGTTTGACGTAAAGTCTGCGACCTTCTTTCAATATTTATTGGTAACAACAAAAGAAGGACATTTCATAACTCAGACGATATTGGTCTATCGTAAACTAACGATGAGCAGGTAACGCTTTGTTCCTGTTCTAGACAAAAGGGGTTTACACGATTGACTCTCAAATACTACGCAATCAAAGCCTGCTTAAGTTGTTCTCCTAAGCTTCTAGAAACAGGAATGCCATGCAACTGTGCCATGCAAGACAGTAGGATCACTGAAATTGTAGGATTAACGATTGTTCCTATGAAGAGAATGTTGGTTATGTTTGGTGACTACTTAACGTTTAGTCATACGGTGGATTTGCAACTGGACATATAGTCGAGTACGATGGTTTTAACGTCTTCAAATGTGCTGCTTCAATTGCTCCGGTCACTAATTATCTTTATTACGGTAAGGCATGACGGTTTTTCATGAATAGCTTACAACTTTTAGATGCTACGTACACCGAACGTTATATGGGTCTTTATCCGGATAACGTAAAAGGCTATAATGTAAGAATAGCAATCAGCCACTTATTTCTGTAGATTTATATTCAAATATTCATATACGCTTCATGGCAAAGTTTCAAAGTACAGTATTGAAATTTATTTAGGGCACAAACCTCATGAAAAACATCACCGCTTTCCAGGATAAATCCTATCTGATCGCGCATGGAACGTATGACGGTAAGGTATCCAATGAATTATGCATTTTCTACGTTGCCTTTAACTTGTCGTACAGGTACCATCATTTATTTATGATTGACTGATAGGCACGCGGAACAGGAATTATAAGCATCAGCTAAAGTACGACACGAGGAACGATGATTACTCCGCATAAATCGTTTGTAAGACCGTGCTGCACATTTGGTTGCATGATTGACAACCTTCTCGTGCTGAAATGAAGGCCCATAGGCGTTGCAGAAGCCCACTCCGGTCAGGTGAAATCGTAGCTGCCCATCATTCGGCAATGATATTCTGTCCACGACCATAACGTGACGTAAAACTTTACTTTAATGAATTAATGATAGACCGAATGGAGGCTGAAAAACATCGTCAATAATTCACGAGGGTTTGCACACCGAAATAACTGGTGAACAATCACTCGCCATAAAATGCTCAAGGAGTGACAGAACTGGAGGATCGTCGACGCATTCGTCGCGGCATTGAGGACATGCCGGATGAAGGAAGAAAAATATGCGATACGGAATGACAGCTGCCTTGGAGCAAC